ATACCTTGATTGATTTGTCGCAAGAACTCGTTGCAAGTCGCCGTCCATCGGCAGACAAGGCGATGGCCAAGACGGAGTCATGGTGACCCTCAAAAGTTCGCAGACAAATGCCTTGTACCAGATCCCAAATCTTAAGCTCTCCATGCAACATCGAACCAGATATGAGCCTCGCCTTGCTCGCTGAAAGAGCTAATGCGCTGATCCCAGTCCTGTGGCCTTCCAGTGAACGAAGAGGGGATCCAGACACGGCATCCCAAAGCTTGATGGTCTTATCGTAGGACCCAGTGGCGATGTATCGATCATCTTCGGAGAACGAGACAGTAGAGATCGATTCGGCATGGCCTTCGAGGGAATGTATGCAAACACAACGTAACACGTTCCAAACTTTGACTATGCGATCGTACGACCAGGAAGCAAGCATTTGGCCATGTGTCGAAAATTGTGTTGATAGAACCATATTAGCATGCCCTTTGAATCTCCGGATGCATGTTCCGGCGGTTGTCCATATTTCGATAAGTCCACTCGACATTGATCCGGTTGCAATAAGCCGACCGTCATTGGAGATAGAAATGGAACTTATGGCATTATCGGGGATCGTGCCATCGTCTTGAGGCTGGGCGCAAACTCTGCTCAGGCAGACCCAACGGGCAACATGCGAAGTGTAGGGTGACTGAGAAATTGCTGCGTATGGACTAACAGTCAGACCAAGCCAAGCAAACCTCTCTGCAGGTCGGTGAAATCGGGCAGACACACCTGAGGCAGTGAGCTTTTCCATGGCCACATCTTCTCCACGGCAACATTTTAGCGGTTTGTGAAACGATGGAGGCAGGTGCCGGACCTAAATTGATCGTTCACCCTGGTTGGGGTAGCACTGGTTGGCTTCGACCGTGGCACGAAGTTCGGTCAGGGTGAATGAGCCAAGACTAGCGATCAAGGAAGTATAGACCAGTACATAGCTATAGCACAATAGTAAGTTTTTGCCCCGCGGCAGCATTATGCTCTTGATGATTTGCGCTCCAGGACCTTCTGCCGGACAAATCCTCGTTGCATTAGAAGATCCCAGCACGACGCCGACTCATCACTGGACATAAAGCAGCATAGAGTCACAAGTGGCTGCGCCCTTGTGGCACCTTCATGCACTGCAAGCATGAAGCGCAGGCGTGCAGCTGCGCTGCACGGCACGGTACTGTATTCTCGACTATGCATATACTGGACAGTCCTCATCGAACGGCTGTTTACAGCAGTAGCGCTGCGCTACACGACACTTCGGACTCGCCATGCTGTTACCATGCATGCCTACGGAACTCTTCATGGCGGCTCTACTGCTAGCACAACGCGCCATTTCGGCTTGTAACATCCACGTTGCAGACTTCCGCGGTTTCGGCCGTCAAGGCTGCTACGACGAGAACCTGGGTATTTGGACTATTATTGACACGGACTTTGAAGCAAACGAATGCAAGTCGTTGATTGAGGAAAATGTGCATTCTTTGGCACTCGTGGACATTCGGCGCGAATGCCAGTGTACGTATGCCACACCACTAGGAATGGATGGCGCTGCTGAATAAGTACCAGTGCACGTATTTTCGGATCGAAGCTGTACACAAGGACGGCGAGTCGTCCAGCCGAATCATTGCGTCAATTCGCCAGAGGGCTTACGAAGCTGGTCCATGGAGTGCATTTGGTCACAATAGGGTGGCTAGCCGTCACTGAGCGAAATGAAAGTCGGGCAAGCTAAAATCAGTGCTGCTTGGACTTCGAGCAGCTTCGTGGAGCTCATGTTTGGAATAAATCTCCATCAAAATATTCCGCTGCCAATTTCTTATTCGAATTATGATCGGCGACTGACGGCCATGCACTTCCACGTAGTTGACCCTGCGGTATGGATTCGCACCGACGATGGTGTTGCCTCAAGACCAGATTGTCTTCGTGAAGGGGATATCCGTTGAGGGATGAAGGTTAGTAACAGCAGCTACGACGATGTTGGGCCTTCGGGCACCAAGCACGCCATCTAGGATCTTCTTATTCGCCCCCGCCCCTGCTACTGTAACGCGGCTTGCACAAAGTCAATTGCCTCTGGATGACAATCAGTCAGACGATCGGCTCCACAGTGATCACAGCGCATCGTAGTAATCGATGAGTGCGCGGCTCTGTATACACGGAGGAAACGCTTACTCCGTGGTGCCACGTCCCTGCAATCGAAGTTGGTATGCAGATATATGTAGCCAGTGTTTGAGCTTTGACCTCAACGAAGTCATGGATCAATGTCTGCAGACGCTCGACCTTCATAAACAGATTATAACATTGGCTTCCCCGAGACAGTATTTTGAGTGCAGATGCTGTGCAACTGGCTCTCTGTGAGACACAATCAGTAAGGCGGCTCGCCTCCCGAGATAACATCGACGTGTTTCGCCGTATTTAGACCGCCACCCCTGTATGCTGGTATCCACACCGTAGTGCTGTCCAAAGGCGACATTAGCTGCGGATCATGGCGCAAATAGTTGGCGGGGCGAAAGGTCACAATCAAAAAGGTGGGGCACACCGCCCCACCGGGTGCCGCACGGCGGGGTAAGAGCTTCTACACTTCGACACTCGATTCGCCTTGATGCATGCTCTTTCTCTACCCTGCTTCGGGAACGGTAACGCATCGCCTCCGAAAACCAACGAACGATTACCCTCTTGCAATGGGCTGCATACCGAGTAGAGTCTTGCGAGAACGGCTTGAACATGCCACGATCGATGACCTGCTGCAGGACAACGAAGTAAGCTCCACCTAGGCCGGAGGTGAACAAAGGCCTCAAGGTTAATTATACCAGTTCGTAGCCTATATGC